TGTCAGGCCGAAACCGAAAATATTTTTTTTTTCTAGCCTCTTTACATTTTTAAAATATATTATTCATTTAAAATTCTTTTTATTTTTTTTAAGTTTACTGTTGGTGGCTTCAGTGAAATATCAGGGGTCCAAAAAGGCCCCTGATATTTCCTTTTTAAGATGGAGGCCTCCATCTCTTTTCTGCAGCCCCAGCACTGAATGAACAGAAATCCTTTATACTGTACTGTACTGAGTGTTTCTGTTCCTTCATAACTTGTGGCTATAGTATGAGTTACTATGTACACAATTATGAATGAATAGGAAGTGATGTAGATTGCTTCCTATTCATTAATAACTAGTACATAGTAACGTATACTATGTCCAGTTATTTACTAACAGTCAGCGATCACTGATCCAGATCAGAATATGTGCCAATGATGGCCTTGGTTGATCCTCAACCGCACAAAGTGGCTCATTCAAAGTTATATAGTAGTTTAGTTCCCTATTGTTCCTATGTCGTATATGTTATGTACTATGGAAAAGTAATCGTTATCCATGCATGTCAAACAAGATGTATGTTTACTATATTTAAGAACTTTGCAATTCACCATTTTTAATGGTATTTTTGTGTGTGTTATAGCAATAAGTGAAAGAAATAAATACAAAAAAAACCTGAAATATCAGTTTTAGGCAGACTGACCCTTCAGGCTTTCAAAATTGCCAAACAGGTCACATAAAAAGCAGGTGGGCATAGGCAGTCCAAAAAAATCTACATGCCTGCCTTAAAAATAGCATTACTTTGCTTCAACTTAAACTGCAAAGCAGATTTATTGAACTTTAAAAAATAAATGCACATTAATGCAGCATGGTGGATGTGGGTGTCACAGGCAGCTATAACTCTTGAAAATGACAGGAAGTAAGGTATCTGCTGAAGCTTGGATCTTATTCCTGACAAACTGTATGTAACTGACAACAAACTTTTCTCTTTTGATCCTTTAAGGTCTGTTAAATATACCATTAAAAGCATTTTGTTATACATGTACGATATTAAAAAAATAAAATAACCACTGGTCTTGCCAGAAATGTAGTAATTTACCAACAGACAACTGGGCATGGCTGATACAATTGATTGTGATTTTAGTTCAGATAAAAGCATATAGTGTCAGTCCACAGCAGAAAATTAGTAGCCAAGAGCAGTTCTGGAAGATCAACAGGTATTTTCTGTATATGTAAGCAATTTAAAAGTGAAACAATATAAGAAAATGTGGATGTAGAGATGCAACACATATGTTTTGTATTCTATTTTGCCCTGGCATACACTTAAAATAACTTAATGAGGCTGTGTGCACATCACAACAAAACAATTGTTTTCCTCTTATTTATTTATATAATTGTTCTGCATGTGGCAATAATTTACACGCACTAAATACTCATGACACTACAAACCTCTCAAAAGAGCCAATCATTGCAAGCAATGCTGAAATCTCTAGCACTATTTGCCTTTATTGGTCTGTTTATGACTTCTTTTTATAGGCAGCACTGTCTATAAAGAGAAGTCAGGCCATGCAGGCAAGGGAATGTTCTTCCCTTGCCTGCATGGCTTTCCTCTACATATCTCTTGCACCTAATCTCCTCCAAGGCAGCCCAAAAAATTAGTGTGGGTTAGACACCCTCAAACCCTAGAGCCTTTGTGCGCGCTTTGTGCATGTGATACTGCCAGACATTTTAGATTGCAGCTTCTATGGGGCAGTAGGTGACATATTTTACACCATTTACTCTGTAAAGAGTGCTATATAAATTTCAGATATAATAGTGCATAAATATGGTTGTTTTGAAAGAAACCTTGAACAATATAAATATATGAATGCCACAACAAATGTAAAACCATGTTATCACTGTTCATTTCACCTTACCGGCTGAGGCGTGTGAATAGGAGAGAGAGTATCTAAATCAGTCATTGGAAACTCTAGTCCCTTTCTTCTAAGGTCCTCGTACACAGCGACAACCCCTGTTAAGTCTGGAGAACTGCGGAAGGCATCTGCCCAGGCCTATATCAAGAAAGAAATAGAAATGTACATGCGAGTTACAAAAGGACAAACAACACAATTTCTCTTCCTGATAAAGACCATTTTTCTATTGAACTCGATAGACGTGTCTTTTTTTTAATGGTGTGCAGTAATATGCAAGCATCCTCTGACATGCATTTGTTGCGTGGGAGCAGTCTTTTCCAAGTTTTAGTAACATGTATGCAGTTTAAGATTGAACTGGACGGTCCAGCTTTATAAGCCTAGCCTGACTGCCTAGTAGCATTGCCACTGATCTTTCCTCTGTACTGTCATATGGAGCACGAGAGAACAAGACTTGGAGAGCGCATGTAAGAATGCTGCATGGCAGTGTCGCTACTGTTCCCTCCTCTGTGCTGTAGTTGGAGCACTTTGCAGAGGGCAAAAGGCAGAGGGTTGCACCTGTCTTTACTGAAAAGAATGCACAGCTATTGTTCCTTTCTCTGTAGCAGAACAAAGGGGGGAAACAATAGTGTTGCTACAATACAGTCAGGTGAAGAGCAACTATTTTCCCTTTGCATACAGCCGCTGCACAGAGGAGGGAACCTCCAGATTAGACCACAGGCAGTCACTCCATCTACAAAGTATGGTGTGGTGATCTGCATTCCTCATCACTTCGGTTTTAATAGGGAAGAATCTAGATCTGATAGCATTGCAAGTCCTATTCATTATCAGGAGTAAACACCCGACTACTACAGAGAGATTTACAAAGGCCATGGCTTTTATTTTGCTCTACGTGTGCTTTGTCTGAGCAGTAACCACCGTGTCTGCAAGACATAGGTCAAGCATTTTCTCAACCCTCTTCTTATTAAAGAAGCACCAGGTTGGAATGGAGTGAAGCTGCTGGGTATCCTGTGAGAAGCCCAAGCCAAAACACAAAAATGTATTATATTGCAACTCACCAGTCCTTTTTCTTTTCTGGCTAAAAACATTTTCAGCACACAGGGGGATACTTAATATGACCCTCATAGAATATAATTATCATTTTATCTCCCTCTGAAATCTAATACCTAGAACTGTTAAAATAAATCCTGGTGTCTCTCCAACCTTTATCGTGGGTGCAGGCAACTAGGAACGATGTTCCATATTTAGTGGCTCTAAACACATACAATGGTCTATTCTGTTACCAACATTAATCTTACTAAAAATGCCCTCAAAGCCCTTTAAAAAAGAACCAGTTGCCAGCATCTCCAGAGGCATGGAAATTGTCTATTACCGATCATCACTGCATCAAAAAAAATTTCCGGGATTATACTCCACTAAAAACGGAAAGCCTTTTACAAGGCAAAATGGAGAGGTTTTGTAGCTCACCACTTTGCCTGCGGATCAATGACATTTTTTGGATAGAAAAAGGTCACTTAAAACAAGAAGTCCAGGGAAACTCTTAACCCTTGCAGTGGGGCTATCCCCCAAATTGTAAGGATTAAGTGCTCGTTTTTGTCTAGGTTACAAAATAAAAGTTATACCCGCCTGATCCTCAGACCGGGCTTGCTTTTAGACCAGTTCCTCCTCCCTCGTTCCCGCTCCGCTGCAGTGGTCTAGGGTCCCATGAGTCATCACCTTCTATACACTGTGTAAAAGGACATTGACACCAAAAGATAGTCCATATTGCTGAAGCAGGAAGAGTAAACAGGCAGAAGGGACCAAAGGCGGCTTTGAGGATTGGGTGAGTAGAACGGTAATTTTTGAACCTAGACAAAAAGGAGCACTTAACCCTTGCTTCCCTGGAGTTCTGCTTTAAAAGGAGAATTATGAGGCGAGTGAGATTCACTCAGCATCATAGTTCTAGCCGACCTGTGACAATGAAACTGTCACACGTCGGCTCAATAGATCAGGAAGTGAGCGAACCCATACTGTCGCTCGCTCACGTCTTGATCTTGTCCCTGCAGAGAGCCTGTCACTCACGGCTCCCTGCAGGGATTCCCCCCTCCCCTGTCCGATCCTCCAGCGTTGATTGGCGGAACGGACGGGGGAGACGGCGGATACAGCTAGCTCTGCCTCTAGATAGGCAGAGCCAGCTGTCACTCACGCAGCTGGGTGGATCCAGACAGTAATGTCAAGATCCGTCCCGGCTGTGGCGTCTCAGTATACCGCGAGCTGTAGCTTGTGTCCTCCCGTTACCCTTAGGAGAACTATGGGGAAAAGCCCTGACCCCATAGTTCTCCTTTAAATCCTGCAAACAATGATACATTTTCTGAAAGCAGAAGACCCTGTAGAATAAACATATTGTAGTTGCAATGTTTATGTCACATATTATTTGTGCAAAAGGTTTAGTGAATTTATATTTTTAGGTAAAAATACACTGAAATGAAATTTTAGTACACACAAACACAATTCAATCCACAATTTCTTTTTTACAAAATAAAAGATGAGGTTGTGTTGAGTGAACAGATACCAAATATGTCAAAGCACAAAATAGCACCAATTATCAGAGGGTGACGCTTCGAATGCCTTTCAGGTCATCAGTTTAGAGCTACCTGTGAACAACCTAGAATTATCTCTCAATAGTCGCAATCACTGTAAAAGCAGGCACAATGTCATTCAGAATTTCTGCAAATTCATGCTTATGCAAATGATACGGTTTTATGAATTCATGTCCACTTGTAATTCCTTTTCATTGTGCACATCACAATGTAATGTCACAAAATGGACAAAATCTCCACAAACTTTCCCTTTGCACTTCTATCATTTTGCTGTGTCACACAGAAATAATATGGGATATCCCTATAGACGGAATGTTTTGTCACCTATATTCCGAGGTAATGATCAGGGGCTATGCAAATGATGTAACATGGTTCTGCATTGGTTTATATTTTAGAAATTATAATTTTTTCATATTTCTTTCAAATTAGGAAATACAAATATATGTATCCAAATCTGTCACCAAATAAAGACATACCTGTTACTTCAGTATGAATATGTCTTTTTTTAAAGTTGTACTCCAGCCTAACCTTCAATCTTACACAGCTGTACATTCTGAGATCCTCTGAGCATGCATAAGAAACTGTAGCAAGCTCCTGCCAGGATTTCCTGGTCAAAAGACTTCCAGGATCATCTAGCCCTTCCCTCCTGGCCTGAGTGTCCCTGGACTATATTAATTGGACTTCAGTTCTTTCAATCCTGGGGGCTCGGCATCACATGTGGATGTTACCCAAAACACCTTGCATTCAAATACAGCCTGCCTAACAATGCCCACTCCTCCGTACTGACATTCATCCATCAAGGCACATTGATATTTGCATCACACCACTCAAGAGCCAGCCCACTGCCTGCAATATGCCTGAGCTCTTGAGGAGTGCCGGGACAGGGTTCTGTGATATTTTTACAAGCTATGCACAGCACCCTGCTGGCCCATCCCATCAGCTATGATCTGTGTGCACCGCATAGAGAAGCACAAAGACCCAGTGATGTCACAAGTCTAAAATAGGTAATGTAATAAAAACACAAATGTTTTATTTAAAAGTTAATTAGCAAGATGATGGAGGGAGAGAGGAACCAAACAAACCAGCTTCAATCAGCGCAGCAGGGGTGTGTTTGCGTTTATGGCTGGGTTCAAAGGCATCAAACCTTCCATGACGATAGGCTCCAGAGATAGCAATCTGGCCCTGCGAGTTTTAAACTACACAACCAGTACTTTGCTCTGCCAGCAAGTCTATATCTTCTATGTGTGTAAGGTACAAGTGATGAGGTGAAGTTCCCTTTTGCTTTCATCATTCATCCACATACAATACCAGCAATAAACTGCATTGTAAGGGCCTTACAGGTGATAAGTAAGTTTCCTACTATAAAAATAGTCACACATGAAAGGAAAATAAAAATGTATATATAAAAAAAAAAAAAGTTTCCCTACGTTATGTTATAAAACATATTCTTACCCATATTTTTGGTAAAACATAAAAGTCGGGGTCACGTCAGGTAAATGGACCCCAAACATGTCAAGCCTTAAAATTGCGTGCGCCCGCAAAATTGCAAAAAACGCCCATAGGCGACGTTTAAAACGCTTTTACTGCTCATCAGTTTAGTTTTATCAGTGATTAATGGCTCTAAAATTATTGCGCTCACTCCGACGTTTGGGACGATATGTAACATGTGCGGCACAATCATCATTTTCACACATAGGCGCACCCGACGCATATCTGCGTGTGTATGTGGGGGGCGGGGACTTTAAAAAAAAAAAATTATTTTTTTATGCTTCTTTAATTTTTGTATTACTTTACTTTTTTCACACAACTTTATTGCAATTACATGGGGGACTAAGAAGCCCCCTATGTGATAGCCAATTTACATGACGGGTCCTCTTTATGGAGACATCAGGGGTCTCCAAGACCCCTGTCACCTAGGGACCCCCAGAGAAGCTGGAGAGTGGCACTGAATGTAGGAAGTGATGTAATATACATCACTTCCTGCATTCGGGGACTGAGAGGAGATCAAAAGGGAGATCGTATAGTGAACTCCCTTTGATCGCCTGTCACAGAGCCGTGCCGGATCGGGCACAGCGGATCTCGGGACCGGCAGTGACAGCTGCTAATAAAAGCGATCAAGCGTCTTTAGAGACGCACGATCACTTGAATGTAAAAGGTGCCCATACACCTTACAATTATCTGCAGATTTTCTATGGTCAGATGGAAAAAGTGCAACAGAACGGATGGAGTAATCTGACCATAGAAAATCTGCAGATAATTGTAAGGTGCATGGCCAGCTTAAAGCTCCCGAACGGCCGTGTAATTACGGCTGGCGGGGAAGCTGCTCGTCGGGCTCCACCGTCCTCTCGTCACGGAGGAGTGGAATTTTCAAGCACACACATACATACACACCTCTACTTCTACCCACTACTAACTTCTGTTGTATTACACAGGTCCTGGAAACTGAAAGCATTTTTTTATGTCAGATTTTAGTCCCACAGTAGAGTGCAGAGAGAGGAACCACGTGCGTTAGGCAATTGCACATCTGGCACCTCTTCTGCCCACCTCCTATTCCTTTTCCCA